ACAGTGTAATTGATTCTACCCCAGAGTATATGCAGTCAAAGCTCCTTCTTTTTGTTTCTTGTACATATTGAAGGTGAGGTTTAAATTGATATGACAATACAGTTTAATAATAGGCATCATAATAATAATTATGTTGCTTAACCAAAAGTTTAGCAGAAAGCGCAAGACAGCAGAAAGCAGATTGGGTAACTTAAGTGACTTTACTGGCAGTTGTTCTTCTCAATAGCTTTCTTTTTTGTAAAACGACAAAAATGATGTATCATCAATTAAACTTGTTCAGCCAGCAGTAAAACTCAACTAATGCACATTTTTTATACACATCTTATGAAGCATATGAGGACATGATTGTGACGGGCCGTTTAGGGCCGTGTCTGAGACCACTACATTCTTTCAGAGGTGCATCCAGCTCTGTGAGTTCATAAACTCCTCCAGAAACTGAACCTGGATGACGGAGGCTTTCAGCGGTGCTTCTGACTGAGCCAAGCCCAGTTTGATGAACTAGGCGATACGTCACAACCATGTCCCCACAAGAGCAAGCTCCTGATTGGTTAACGTTGCGCAATTTTCCGCTGAAGTTTAGATTTTCGAACTCGAATGATTCTCGCGAAACGCACGTTAAGCGCATCAAACGCGTAAAACGCTCTATTGACGCCGCGCCATTCGTGCGTATCGCGCCATTCGTGTCATTCGCGCCGCGCCATTCGCACGTATCGCGCCGCAGGATGTCTATTCGCGCTTTTGCATTGACATAACATGTAAATCACTTGCACTTGACGCGCATTCGGCGTCTGGTGTGAACGCAGCATGAAAGGTACACCATGAACTTGAAATAGTCAATCTTCTGCTGGGAGTAAACAACACTTCTGTGCATTTAACCCATTTGTAAAACTAAACAATCGATACCAGCTCTGCATGACTAAAATGTTTAACCACAGAGCATTACCTGTCTAACAGAAATACTTCAGCCACAGTGTTGCCCCTCCTCCAGCGTGCAAAACTAACTCCAATATTGATTTAGGATTTTCAAAAGTTTTGATTTGGCATTTGTTTATACCGCTGTCACACCCTCTATTGTGTCCATGTGAACGTGCAAATGGTGGATCTGCATGAACGGGTGCACAGATGTACGCATTTGTTGACGGACAGTTTGGGCTACTGATCAGAACTATGGGAATTATCAGCCAGACAATCATTAACTGGATGAACATTTTAGTCTTATCACGTCTTACCCAGAATTTAAAAATACATAAACACATTTAGATCATTTAATTTAATCATTACTTTTAGACAGTTCAGAGACGTTTGTCAAGACAATCACCTACTACACCTTTAATTATATGGCTTGGGATTTGATTCATGTTTGTGAAATGCAAAGAAACTAAAAGCTGGCGATTAACTGAGTTTATATATGGTCAGTTTAAAAAATTAGACTCAAATGGCAGTGTTTCCTGCGAATGACCCTGGCATAAAAACTAAAAGCCATCTATGTTTGGCACCTGATGGCCGCTCGGAGACTCATCGTCCTCCTCTTCATCCTGAATTAACGTTTTTTTCTCCCAGTGTGAGCTGAAGAGTGGGCTGTAACAGTGTTTGTGTGTTTGCCTGCCCACCGTGAGCGAAAGCAGAGCCGTACATTCAGCCAGAGCGACACCAAACACAGCCAGCCGGAGTCTCTAGAGTATTTACACAAATGATGAAGATGCAGCACATCCTGAAACACTGCTCGCTTTCTGGAGAATTGCAGATCACACAAACACCAACATCAGTGAGTCCATGTCCACGTCGCTCATCTTCTGATCATAGAATAGTTCAAGTAAATTCAATTCAGTCTGATAGCGAACAGAAAATTAAATCCTGATGCTCACACACTGCGTTTACACTGGAGGAGCGTCGCCACATGCACTGGAAACCTCCAAAATGCATAACAAAAAATGGACATTACAGGTGTGGGGCTTAAATATTGACCTTACAGCTGTAGTGACAAATAATTCAAAAAATGCATTCAGAAATTTGCATAAGCTTGAATTGATTCTGAGCTTAATAACAGCAGATGGCGCTATAGGCTAATTTTTAACAGCAGAAGGCACTCTAGGCTAATTTTTGACAGGAGATGGCGCTATAGGCTAATTTTTTTTACAGCAGATGCTGCTCTTCTAGTTTATAACAGCAGATGGCGCTCTAAGCAATTTTTTACCAGGAGATGGCGCTCTAGGCTAGTTTTTTTTTTTTTTTTTACACCAGATGGCACCCTAGTTTAGTTTTTAACAGCAGATTGTGCTCAAGGCTAATTTTTGACAGGAGATGGCGCTCTAGGCTAGTTTTTTTTTTTTTTTACAGCAGATGGCGCTTTAGTTTAGTTTTTAACAGCAGATGGCACTCCATGCTAGTTTTTGACAAGAGATGGCGCTCTAGTTTAATTTTTAACAGCAGATGGTCCTCTAGGCTAGTTTTTACCAGCAGATGGCACTCCAGGCTAGTTTTTGACAGGAGATGGTGCTCTAGTCTAGTTTTTACCAGCAGATGGAGGTCTAGGCTAGTTTTTACCAGCAGATGGAGGTCTAGGCTAGTTTTTACCAGCAGATGGAGGTCTAGGCTAGTTTTTTACAGCAGATGGCACTCTAGGCTAGTTTTAAAAGCAGATGGTTCTCTAGTCTAGTTTTTAACAGGAGATGGTGCTCTAGTCTATTTTTTTCACAGGAGATGGCGCCCTAGTCTAGTTTTTAACAGTAGATGGCCCTCTAGGCTAGTTTTTAAGAGCAGATGGCGGTCCGGGCTAGTTGTTAACAGCAGATGGCGCTCTAGGCTAGTTTTCGACAGGAGATGGCACTCTAGGCTAGTTTTTAACAGCAAATGGTGGTCCAGGCTAATTGTTGACAGCAGATGGCGCTCTAGGCTAGTTTTTAACAGTAGATGGTGCCCTAGGCTAGTTTTTAACAGCAGATGGGGGTCCAGGCTAGTTTTTAACAGTAGGTGGCGCTCTACTTTAAATTTTAACAGCAGATGGCGCTCTAGGCTAGTTGTTAACAGCAGATGGCGCTCTAAGCTAATTGTTAACAGCAGATGGTGTTTTAGGCTAGTTTTTAACAGCAAATGAGGCTCTAGGCTAGTTTTTAACAGCAGATGGCACTCCGGGCTAGTTTTTAACAGCAGATGGCGCTCCAGGCTAGTTATTAATAAGAAATGGCACCATAGTCTAGTGGTTAACAGCAGATGGCGCTCCAGGCTAGTTATTAAAGGGCCATGAAACCCCCTCGTTTCAGCAGGGTGTTTTCACACCTCTACTTTGGAAAAAGTCAGAAAAGTGGGCGTGTCCAGCTCTGTTTAGGGGGGAGTGTCAGAGGAACTAAAGTGGGAGGGTGTGGGAGTGTCTATTTGTGCACGCGCGAGTTTCAGAGTCAAAATACACACCCACACAGACAGGAGAAAGTGATGGTGTTTAACCTACATGGACATCTGTAGTGGAATTATTTGCCAAATTATTAAATGGTGGACTTTAACTGCAGTTTGGCTCTTTCATTCAGGGAATTCATTCATGTCCCTCGCGACAAACAAGATATTTGATTCGAGGATCTGCTCTAAGCGTGTATTTTTCATGCAATGTTTGATGCCGCACGGCGAATGAGAAAAAAAAAACCTCCGCATTTTCCGGAAACTTAGATGCACACGGCAGGTAGCGTCAGAAAGCCGCGTGTGTTATTCCGGTCACAAAATGCGGTTAAAAACCCTACACGAGGTTAAAGTTTGGTTGTGGTCCTAACATGTTACGGTGCAATAGTTAACTTAGTTCGATACGAACAAACTGAAAAAACAAAGAGCACTAGTCGCTCACTTACCAAATCTGAAGAGACAGGACAATCACCAGCAACTAGAGCCGCGTCTTTATGAAGAGAAGACTACAAGCGATTCCAGATCTCAGCGTTTGCAGATGAGAACAGCTCTCAGGTAAACAGTAATCCTCCTTAGACACGTAAGTTATTGTTGTCGAGCGTCGCGTACACTGTTAATACACACGTGAGTCTGAGCTCTCACAGAGAGAAAAAGAAAACGAAACTTAACGGCAGCAAACTATAAAAGCAACACTTCACGCTTGTTTTGCCAACACAACGTGGCGTCTATGTCGTGTAAACACAGTAATGAATATTAATGAAGTTGCACAATAGAGCGCGCTGATTGGTTTGAACCAAGCCTTACTCAAGCATTAATGCAACACACTGTAAGACGTAATAAGACTCACTCTGGCACAGACGCCCAGTCTGCACGCTGAAATACACGCTATTATGTCATGACCGTGACGCAGCTTCAAAAATTCGTTTCAAACCGGAAGTACGAATTTGCTTGAAATAACGCAAAAACAACCAATTTACACTTTTTAGTGAAATATAGGTGTCTTAATAGTGTTTTTAGCAGTGTGGGACACATATACGACTGTCAACAGCTCAAAAAATGTGTTTTGGTGTTTCGTGACCCTTTAATAAGAGATGGCACCATAGTCTAGTTGTTAACAGCAGATGGCGCTCTAAGCTAGATGTTAACAGCAGATGGCGCTCTAGGTTAGTTGTTAACAGCAGATGGTGTTCTAGGCTAGTTTTTAACAGCAAATGAGGCTCTAGGCTAGTTTTTAACAGCAGATGGCGCTCTGGGCTAGTTTTTAACAGCAGATGGCGCTCCAGGCTAGTTATTAATAAGAGATGGCACCATAATCTAGTGGTTAACAGCAGATGGCGCTCCAGGCTAGTTGTTGACAGTAGATGGCGCTCTAAGCTAGATGTTAACAGCAGATGGCGCTCTAGGTTAGTTGTTAACAGCAGATGGCGCTCTAAGCTAGATGTTAACAGCAGATGGCGCTCTAGGTTAGTTGTTAACAGCAGATGGTGTTCTAGGCTAGTTTTTAACAGCAAATGATGCTCTAAGCTAGATTTTACCAGCAGATGGCGCTCTAGGCTAGTATTTAACAGCAGATGGCGCTCTAGGCTAGTATTTAACAGCAGATGGCGCTCTAGGCTAGTTTTTAACAGCAGTTGGCGCTCTAGGCTAGTATTTAACAGCAGATGGCGCTCTAGACTTTGGCAAGTTTTAACTTTGGGTGGTGCTATAGGCTAGATTTTAAGTGCTGATGGCACTCTAGGCTAGTTTTAAAAACTTCTTTCATGTTTTACAGAAGAACATAGTCACCTAGAATGGCTTTTTAAAACTAATATTAATATAAATTAAAAATTTTGAATGCGCCATCCCCTTACTAATGCAAAGTTGCTTGCTAAGTTGCTTGCTTTAATTAAGTCCAGTGCTTTTTAAATAAACATGATGTTTAACTTGATTGGACTGCAACATTACAGAACTCATGCAAACCGTTCTTTGATCAGAGACTTTCTCAATTGTAGTCTTCTCACCTCGTTCATTTGTCCAGTGTAAACAGCTCCTGTGATTTAACACAAACTCACAGTCCAGTGTAGACGCAAGTGTTGAGCACATCAGATGCATACATACACGATTGTTTAAACATAAACATATTTATTAAACTCAACACTTTGGTATTACTCCGCAACACACACGCACACACACACACACACACCTCTGCAAGTCAATTGTGACAGCAGAACCTCAGACTCAGATTTCCAGATCTCCTGTTTGGCAGATATTGCTTTATGCATTATTACCACTCATTACCCCCATTCATTTGAAATTCTATTGTGTTTTACACCCACACAAACTAAAAACGATCACTATCATCCGTTGAACTGAACACATACACGGCATTCAAATACTTTGTGACATCCATGATCGTCTTGCCACGCATGTGACAAAAACTAGAGTATAGTCATGTTGTGCACCTGTTTTTCATCTTCACTCCTCACAGACGGACTCTCCCAGATCCACAGCGCCCCCTCTGGTGAGTCTGCGCATCTTGCTGAAGTCGTGATCAGAGCGCAGGTAGGACAGTGACGCTCCTTCATGCGTGCCCAGCTGATGGGGCTGAACGTGAGCCGGCAGAGGACGCATCTCCCCTTCGTTCCTCCAGAAGAGACAGTAGTGTTGCGGCTCGCTTACGCCGAAAAGAGCAGCGCAAGATTGAGCTAAGGCGTCTACATTTTCTCCCGCCTTCCAGAGAAGCGTCCGAACCCCACTGCGAATTTCATCCTGGAACAATATGCGCACAAACCTCTGCGACAACAACACAAACACACAGGTGCAGAGTCAGGGCTGGTTCTGATATAGACCAACACAAATATGACAATAAGCTAAATAAAATAAGTAAAAGAAATGACTTAGCATAGCCTGAAAGCTTTAGCTAGTTGGTAAAGCTTGTTTAAAGCTGTTTTGAAACTTTACATGCATAGATAGAACTGTTAGCATGTTACTAGAATGTTTCTAAAATGTTTTAAAACCACTAGCACACATTTCTGGCACATATTGACACTGCTAACATGTTTCTACCACATTTAAGCACACTGTAAGCAGGTTTAAAGTCCGCTTTTCAGTATGTTGATGTACTTCTAACAAATAGATAAAATGACAGATGGATAGACGGACAGACAGACAGGTAGATAGATAGATGGATGGATGGATGGATGGATGGATGGATAGATAGATAGATAGATAGATAGATAGATAGATAGATAGATAGATAGATAGATAGATAGATAGATAGATAGATAGATAGATAGATAGATAGATAGATAGATAGATAGATAGATAGATAGATAGATAGATAGATAGATAGATAGATAAATGGACAGACAAATTTATAGACAAATGGATAGATAAACAGACGGATAGATGGACATAGACAGGACATATAGATGGACATAGACAGGCAGGCAGACAGACAGGTAGATAGATGGATGGATGGATGGACGGACGGATAGATAGATAGATAGATAGATAGATAGATAGATAGATAGATAGATAGATAGATAGATAGATAGATAGATAGATAGATAGATAGATAGATAGATAGATAGATAGATAGATAGATAGATAGATAGACAGATAGACAGATAGATGGACAGACAAATGGATGGATAAACAGACGGATAGATGGACAAAGAAAGACAGACAGAAAGACAGACAGACAGATAGATAGATAGATAGATAGATAGATAGATAGATAGATAGATAGATAGATAGATAGATAGATAGATAGATAGATAGATAGATAGATAGATAGATAGATAGATAGATAGATAGATAGATGGACAGACAAATGGATAGATAAACAGACGGATAGATGGACATAGATGGACAGACAGACAGGCAGGCAGACAGACAGACAGACAGACAGACAGACAGACAGATAGATAGATAGATAGATAGATAAATGGACAGACAAATGGATGGATAAACAGACGGATAGATGGACATAGACAGACAGACAGATAGACAGACAAATGGATAGATAAACAGACGGATAGATGGACATAGATGGACAGACAGACAGACAGACAGATAGATAGATAGATAGATAGATAGATAGATAGATAGATAGATAGATAGATAGATAGATAGATAGATAGATAGATAGATAGATAGATAGATAGATAGATGGATAGATGGATAGATGGATAGACAGACGGATGGAGACAGACAGATAGATAGATAGATGGATACATGGACAGTTAAATGGATGGATAAACAGACGGATAGATGGACATAAATGGACAGACAGACAGAAAGATAGATGGATGGAGAGACAGACAAACAGATAGAATGATAGACAGATAGATAGATATATGGATACATGAACAGATAAATGGATGGATAAACAGATGGACAGATGGACATAGATGGATAGATAATACTAATAATTTTCAATAATTATAGTAGTTGTCTTTATACAGTATTATTGGATGATTTAGAGAACAAGAAACAAACACACAGAAAGGGTGACTTTAATATAAATAAATACAACATAAATAATTCATCTTATCAAAAGTAAAAACATCTTTTCATAATCTATCATCAAAGCACTTCCTTATATTTCTGCTGATGTAATCAGGCCTGTGTGGGCAGGGGAATAATATAAATGCATAATATGTTACATAACATCTTTCACCTCTCTATAATCTACTCAAACCTCTGATATAAGTCCTTTCTACCTGTTCACAGTAAGTTTTAATTAAAATATCACAAAACTGGCACATTATGGCATATATTTACTGCCATGTACGGCATATATTTTATATATTGAACTATGCTTTTAAAGGGGTGACACGGTGGTTCTGTGGTTAGCACAGTCGCCTCACAGCAAGAAGGTCACTGGTTTGAGTCCTGGCTGGGTCAGTTGGCATTTCAGTGTGGAGTTTGCATGTTCTCCCATTTTTGTCCGGGTGCTCCGGCTTCCCCCACAGTCCAAACACATACACTGTAGGTGAATTAGATAAACTGAATTGGCCATAGTGTGTGTTTATGCATGAGTGTATGAATATTTCCCAGTACTGGGTTGCAGCTGGAAGGGCATCCGCTGTGTAATAAACATATGCTAGATAAGTTGATGGTTCAATCCCCTGATCAATAAAGCGACTAAGCTGTAGGAAAATGAATGCATAAACTATCCCTTTAAAGGAAGCTCATTAAAGTCTTTAATATTAGTGTAATGAAGGGAATGACCACATTAAATTGTAAACAAATAATCAAACCTGTTTCAGCTGAGTGTCCTTATGAGTCTTGGCTTCTTGGCCCCGCCTCCTGCTCCACTCTCTCAAGTATTCTTGAGCCTCATTGGTCAAACCAGAGGTGGGCGTGGTCCCAGGCTTACTCTGGATCAGACATAGGCTGGCATACACACTCGTCAAATAGTATCCACCTATAAACAATACCAATTAAGTCAGTCTTTTAAACTTTAAAGGGCACCTATTATGCAGAAATCACTTTTATAAGGGTGTTTAATCACAGTTTTGCTTCAGCAGTGTGTGAATATAGCCAGCTTCTAATGGTAAAACTGTATTAAGTCTATTTGTTTATAATCAGACTTGATAGAAATAGTCTGTAGAAGCACTTTGATTGACATTCTCCCTTTGTATGTGTCATCAGACAGGGAAAGCCCCGCCCACTAGTAACAATCTCTCCCTCATTAGCAGTGTTGGGTAAGTTACTTTAAGAAGTAATCGATTACAAATTACTCTACTACTGGAAAATTGTAATTTGCTTGCATTACTAATTACGTCATGTAAAAAGTAATCAGATTACTAGTTACTTTGAAGTTACTTTTAAAAAATATAAAAAATACAACTGCAGCTCTTTTAGTAATTTAATATTCACTGAAAAACATTACAGTGGGTCTAACACAGCAGCTTGACAAATTGAAAAGATTTAAAGATGTAGTTCGCCCAAAACCAAAAATTATTCATCATTTACTGAATCTTCACTCGTTCCAAACCTGTTCCAAAAATGCATACTGGGCCCTATCATACACCTGGCGCAATAAGTCGCAAGATGTGCTTGGCGCGATTTGTTGCTAATTTCAGACCAGCACAGGCCTAATTTTAATGTTTTGCATCACGTTGTTTATTTAGCAAATTCATTCACGCCCCTTTGTGGACTCATGGGTGTGCTGGGGGGGAGGGGGGTGGGGGTTCAGTTTATTCATGACAATTTGCATTTTTATAATATATTATTATTATTATTATTATTATTATTATCATCAGTATTATTTATTGTATGTAAATTTATTTTAGCTTGAATAAAAACAAGTTTGGATTTGTACACCTGTCTGGTTTTGCTGAAGTATGCGTCACTATATGGGGCAGAACAGAACGTGTGTTTGGATGTAACTCAGTTTTTTTGACCACAGTTTATTATTATTGTTCATTTATTTGTTTGTTGGAAATTAGAACTGAATTTAGAAATAGTTTTGACACAAATCTCTGCGCTTAATAAATGGAATTAAATATGTCGGTTAATGGACGTCTTCAGTGGAGTGTGTACAACACCATTTCCTTACTCCACTTAAGTAAAAGAGTAAAGAGTAAAAGTAAAGTAAAGAAAAAGTAAAGAGGCTAAATGGAGGAGGCTCGTTCTTTAACCTCGCGCTGCAGATGCTCTGTTTAACTGTTTTCTTGCTAGTAAAGTGTTACTTACAAAATCCCCTATTTAAATAGCAAATGTGCCATGGCACCACGCAACTGAAGCTTAAAAGGAATGAGAGATGATTTTGTACCATGCGCTTTAGACTTTGCACCTAGATCGTTAAAATAGGGCCCACTATTGGTCTGTTTCCACTGAGTGGTACGGTACAGTTCGATTTGGTATGCTTATATGGCTGTTTCCACTGTCAAAAGGCGCACTGAACCGAACCGTACCGTACCACTTTTTCGGCACCCTTTCGAAAGGGTACCAAACATGAGAAAGGGTACCAAAGGCGGAACTAGCTGAACGCTGTTGGATTTACCCTGTGCTCCGTAGTTTTTTACGAGCCAGTCTTAAGCGAGAGCGGTTTAGCTTTCTTCCTTGCACTCGCCGCGCGTCTATATCTGAAATAACAAACTTTTTGAGCTGATGATAATAACGTGCGCTTGATTATTGACGTGCTTTAGAAACCCGATCCTGGTAGAAACTGACAAACGCGAGAGTGAAGCGCAAACAAACAAAGGAGATGCAGGAAAGAAAAGAGCACATTATTTCTTCAGCAAATGTGAACAAACTGCCATGTTTAACTATTATCATTGGACTATTATGAACTGGGAATGATGGAATTGCTCTCTAACAGAGGCTACACGTGCTGTTGAAGATTACAGACACAGATAACAGGTTTGCACTGACTCCGGGCCATATTTTCTGTTGTTTTTGAACCCAAATAAGGACTAAATGTCTGCTGTGTGTAGTTTTTCTGTAGTAAGTATCATATTGGAGACTGTAAGGGGCTGTGTGTGTTCATGTATATTGTATTTATTTATTTATTTTATATAATTACCAACGTTACAGTAGGCTCTTTTGATGCATCATTGATGCAGTTATAATCAAATCATGTTCATAGAAAAGTTAGTAATAAACATTTATACGGAAGTGTTTATGTGTGTAAAGCATCTGTTTTGTGCTTCTCATATGATTTGTGAGCGACCCGTACAGCTTTACTGTAGACATTTTCTCAAGCAAAAATGATGTTGACTAAAACTTTTTTGTCATACACCACACCCACCAAAAGGGTACCCTTGGTAGTGGAAACGCAAGCCTGATAAAGGTGACCTGTACTGACCACAACCGTACCGTACTGTGCGAGTCAGTGGAAACAAGCCATATGTCTGTGGTTGTGTAGAGACAAACTGTAAATGCTGAAATTTTGAATACGTGAAATCTGGAATATTTGAATGCGTTGCTCTGCTTGCTCCCCGTGCGCGTCACACGCTGCCCGCCTCCTTTAAAAATAATGAACTTGAACATGCAAAAGCCCCTATATTTTCAGAAGATACCTTCACTCCCAATTCTGCACAATAATCCAATTTAGCTTGTTTAGACTGAGTTGGGCCGCTGTTTTTTGGGCGCCTCCTTGGTGACAGGTTTTGTCATAAAATGCTTTCTATTCAAGTGCTTAAACAAGTTGCTGGTCGAGTTAAAAGCAAATGTTTATTAGAGACTGAACATAGATTGACTTTCACAGTAATAGTTTGGTTTTTACGCTCAATGAAATCAAAGTAATGTCTGTATTTCCTCTTGAAGAAGCAGCCACTATCGACAGCAGCCATTTCAGCATTACTCCAGCTCATGTTCTCCAGAAATTTAAAAGCGAATGCTCATTAATTTACATTGCAGTGGGAAAATATGATTTAAAAAAGTAAATATTGTTTTCAAAAAACTATATTTGTAACGTAAGTAATGTAAGAGTTTAGTAACTGTAATCAAATTACACAAATTTAAAATATAATTGGTTACATTACTGCATTCCCCCAAAATGTAATGAGAATAGTTATAAGCTACAGTGGAACGCGTTACCACCAACTCCGCCCATTAGCATAAACAGCCCTGAATGAGAAGCAGCTACTATACAACATGATCTCACGAGAAAACGTAAGTATTTTACGTTTTGCCAGTTTAGTGGCTAATTCGTATGAATTCGTACGAGTTCAGTCGTACGAAATTGTACGATTTTAAAAAGGAGGCGTGGCACCAAACCCCACCCCTAAACCCAACCGTCATTAGGGGATGAGCAAATCGTACTAAAATGTACGAATTAGATCGTACGAATTCATACGAATTAGCCACTAAATGAAAAAGTTACGAATTGTTGTGAGATTGTGTTGTACTATACTGACATATAGGTGCTTGTAGCTCCGCCCTCTTTTGTAAAAAGCACAATCTCATTTGAATTTAAAGAGACAGTCACAATTTTGATCAAAGCTTAAAAGGGTCAGTTTCATAGAGCTATAAAACATTATTTATTGATTATAATGAGCTGAAACATCACACACATACACACTAGGGACTTATTTTACATCTTGTAAAATGGGGTCTCCTTTAAAGCATAAGAATTCAAAAATGCAAAACCTGCTTAAGGCAGTTTCCTATATTATCCTACAGTATGTGTGTGTGGACTGTTCATCCAGCGCTCCGTATTTAAAGTTAAACACGATGCTAGAATCGATATAAATAATGCTTTAAGTTTCGAGTTCATTGAAAAATACTGTATATGAGTGGCTTTAGAGTGTAGGTAGATCAGCTCGATTACATAATTCATAACACTTCACGGCAGTGTGTGCGTGTGTGGGGTTGCTGCCAGGTTGCCATGGCAACAGTAACTTCAGCTTGCCGTTGCTCACTTCAGGTAGTTTTGTTCTTCGCTGGGAATTTGGCGATTGAGGATGATGATGATAAATGATAAATGAAGTGGAAAAACACCCACTCGCTGAGGCGCAGAGCTCATGGTAGGTCTGTCTAGAAAGATTTATACATTCAGGATATTCTCCTGCGCTTTAGACTCTGTGATGAACACAGTGACAAGTTATTAAATGAAACCGATTAAGATTTTGTTTTTAAATTAGTGCATTTTTAGTGCCATTATAATGGTATTTATTATAATATATACAGGTGAAGTCAGAATTATTCGCCCTCCTGAATATTTTTTTTCCCAATTTCTGTTTAACGGAGAGAAGATTTCTTCAACACATTTCTAAGCATAATAGTTTTAATAACTCATCTTAAATAACTGATTTATTTTATATTTGCCATCATGACAGTAAATAATATTTGACTAGATATTTTTCAAGACACTGGTGTTCAGCTTAAATTGACATTTAAAGGCCTAATTAGGGAATAGGCAAGTAAGGGTAATTAGGCAAGTTATTGAATAACTGTTTTTTTCTGTAGACTATCCAAAAATATATATTCTTAAGAGGGCTAATACACTCTCTCACAAAAGTCTTGTCGCTTCTCCACGTTTTAGGAATAACTTGACTTCTAGTTGATATTTTGGTTTCAGGAGAGGCTTATATAAAAAGGCTAAATTGCCTTTAGATTATTTGTATTATCATATTTGACCTAAATAAAATATGATAATGCCTTGATGTTTAATGATTTAATTAGGACAGTAAGGTCTGACTTTGCTTAGACAAAAGTCTCGTCACTGAACAGAAACAATGTCCAGTATAGAATATAAAGTCATGCTGCAGTGGAAACTGAATGAATATTGTGTCTGACTCCATCATGAGCTTGGAGGACTGCATCCATACATCTCTGACATGACTCAAATCACTGATTAATAAAGTCATCTGGAATGGCAAAGACAGCAGGACTCCCAGAGTTCTTCAAGAGTCTTTGGATACATCTTCAATGCCTCCTCCTTCATCTTACCCCAGACATGCTCAATGATGTTCATGTCTGGTGACTGGGCTGGCCAATCCTGGAGCAGCTTGACCTTCTTTGCTTTCAGGATCTTTGATGTGGAGGCTGAAGTATGAGAAGGAGCGCTCTCCTGCTGGAGAATTTGCCCTCTCCTGTGGTTTGTAATGTAATGGGCAGCACTAATGTCTTGATACCTCAGGCTGTTGATGTTGCCATCCACTCTGCAGATCTCTCGCACGCCCCCATACTGAAAGTAACCCCAAACCATGATTTCTCCTTCACCAAACTTGACTGATTTCTGTGAGAATCTTGGGTCCAAGAGGGTTCCAATAAGTCTTCTGCAGTATTTGTGATGATTGGGATGCAGATCAACAGATGATTCCTCAGAGAAATCCACCTTTTAACACTTTTCAAAATGATCAGCTAGAAGTCAGCTTATTATTCCTTGTTCTTACAGCTGGGATCAAAGACTTTTGTTAGGTAGCTTACTATTGACCTTAAAATGATTTTTAAAAATATATTTAAAACTGCTTTTATTCTAGCCGAAATAAAAAAAATAAGACTTTATCTCCAGCAGAAAGAATATTATATATAAATACTGTGAAAAATTCTTGCTCTTTTAAACATCATTTGAGAAATATTTGAAAAAGAAACAAAACTGAAATCCTTTTAACTGTACAATATATAGTTTAGATGTGCCACGATGGCGCAGTGGGTAGAACGATCACCTCACAGCATGTTTGCATGTTCTTCCCATGTTTGCATGGGTTTCCTCCGGGTGCTCCAGTTTCCCCCACAGTCCAAAGACATGCGCTATGTGAATGTGTGTATGTGTGTGAAGTACTAAGTTGTGGCTGAAAGCGCATCCACTTTGTAAAACATATGCTGGAATAGTTGGCGGTTCATTCCACTGTGGCGACCTCTATAATATATTATGATCATAGTTTCAACGTACATTTCGAAAATTTGACGATATGTTTTCCCTGAAAAATCCATGTTTATGTTTTAAAAACAGAATAAAAATCAGCCAATAGGCCGCATTAAGCAATCCTGTTTCTGTTTGAATTTAAAGAGACAGCACCCAAAATTAAATTCTGCATTGTTTCAAACCTTTATAGGTTTATCTCTTCTGCTGAACACAAAAGAAGATATTTTGAAGAATGCTGAAAACCTGTAACCATTGACTTCCTTTGCATGGATGTGAATGGTTACAGATTTTCAGCTTTCTTCAAGATATTGTCTTTTATGTTCAACAGAAAAAAGCAGCCCATGAAGGTTTGTAACCACTTGAGGGAGAGCAAATAGCAAGTAAATGCTCATTTTTGGGTGAACTACCCCTTTAAGCAGATATGATGTACTTTTTAAATCTACAAAATAAAAGACATCAGGTTATATTGTAAAGCTTATCTTAAGACTAGGGTTTTAACCAAAGTCTGTAAGGTTTTGTTTCTAAGCAGGATCCTCCTGTACCTTCTCCTGTCAGCCATGACGGCTCAAGCAGCTCCATCATGTACTCCGTCTCCAGCAGCAGTTGCGGGATATTACACTGAATAAGCACGTAGGAAAGTGCTGGTAGAAAGTCGTCAGATCCCACATCCTGACCTGCAGAGAAGAAACAATGTTATGTCATAAAACTTAAAGATACTGCATATTAGCCGCATACACAAGATATTTGAGTTAACTGAACAATTATGCACACATATACACACAAATATGTCATTAGTTTAAGAGCTTATGGAGATCAACTTGAATACCTAAATTTGAGACGCTTCATGAAAGTGGGAGGAGCTATTAGTTTTATTTTGCGAAATTTGTTTAATTTTAAATTTGTAACTTTGATTGGTGGAATGTTCTGTACGGCATTATGGGTAATGTAGTTTTTTTTGCACAGATTCCACTGTAAAACATGATTATTTACAAAATAATGCTGCATATACAAAATATTTTAGCTAACTGAACAGATATCTGAATATATATGTAGTTTGAGGGCTTAGGGAGATTGATTTGACAGTACATGTGTGATGCTCTATGG